ACAATTAGAGTATGGACCAACTAGTAGATGTGTAAAGAAAGGGGAAACCATGTCTGGTACTGCTATTTCACCATTTATGATATGTTGTATGGTTAAATTTTCAGGCAGTTTCATTTTCTTCGTACTGAATATTTCTCATCGGAGTAAGAAAGTGACACTCTGAAGTTCTGAACTGTATGTTCAGTTTCGCTGGCGTTGTCAGATGCCTTGCGAACAGCGTCATCAACATTTAAACCTTTACTGAAGACAATATTACCACATCTTTTATTCCCACTGTCAATTGAAATATTCTCACCAAAGAATTTAACCAGCTTGTTCTGAAGATCGCTGAGCAAAATACCTAACTCTGTATAGTTTCCGCCACCAAATTCTAATAAACATGACTGATAGTATTGCAGTAATTTATTTAACAGGTAGACCTCTTGTTTTTCCCGAATAATGTCAGTCACAATACTACATAAAGCATCAAATGCTTTGGTATGTATATTCCTAGTATCATGTCATTCACTTTTATCATATGACCCGCTTACTTCTCGCATCTTTTCAACTCTGTGTTGATATTCTATTCTGCACATTGCATGATAATGAATGTTTTTGCCAATGAAATCTATATCTTGGATGTTCTTAAGCATATTTTCATCCTGAAGAATTGTTGCATATTCTTGAATATTTTTTTCGATTGTCTTTGTGAAACAGGTTATTACTGTCTGTTTGTGACCTTGATGTTTTCTGTTTGATTTACTGCAAAACCGGCAGACCTTCTCGAACACACCTGAACTGGATGCAGAAGTCAATGTTAAACATGATCTCATCAATTTTGGATTGGAATTTGGATTGACATTTTCTTGTACTTCATCATTCTGTTTCTTTTGAATTTTAGATATCTCTGTAAATCTTCTACATCATTCCATATGAAATCCTGTTAACTCATATACACAATTGGGGGCATAATTTCAGCATACTTCACACGTGACTTTTTACAGATTTCTAAAATTTTTGACAGTTTTGTAGAGTACCTTTCTTAAAAACAAGAATCGGCATCATTGCCAGAATGAAGAGAGCACCAGCCTTCGTACGATATGATGTATACCAGAATGAAATGAAATGAAATGGGGTTTAACGTCCTACTGTTTTGCTCCGAACTGGGCTAATGAAGACAGGCATACACCATGCAGTGTGCTATGAGGGAAATTTCGTCCGGACAGCGGCACTACGGCCTACTCTTATATCGAATTCCAACTGTCAAGGATCTTTTACGTGCACGCCAATGTGTACACGGGACCTCGGGTTTTTCGTATCATCCGAATGACTAGACAGCTGTCCTTGCCAGGCCCTCCGTCCTGCATCACTGACAAGGGGAATCGCGCCGGAAAATCTGGATGAACTTTCTCGGCCAATGCAGGGATCGAACACCCCCGACCTCCAGGCTAGCGAGCCAGCGCCTTACCCACCGTGATCCCCGTATACCAGAATAAAGAAGTAAGGATGGTTGATTTTTCTAACTTGACGTATTTGTATTTTTGTATGTATTTATCTACCGTAAACATGGACATATTTGTACTGGATCTACTCTAATTTATATACATGCTTATATATATTACTGCTTGACTTAATTCAGAATATTTGGAAATTTCAGTTATATTACCAATTGGATTGATTTTACCATCGTCTTTTTCAATTTCCATGTTGTATTAAGTTCTTAGACTTCAACTTGCAAAATGAATGAAATTTGTTCCGACTGTAAAAGTTACATACTTTTTGTGTGGAAGTGGTAGACTAACGCCACCTGGCCTATGTTACTCCCCGGTATGAGCTACCCCTATACCCCAAATTTCAGACTCGGAAATGACAACGTGAATGATGGATCAGTCGAGTAAATGACAGGAGTTTTCTAGTCGAATAATAAAGATAATGGCAACTCTGGTCATAGCATATCTGTTTATAATATATTTCATATAAATGTTTATACACGTATTTGAAAAATACATTTAGGTCTACGTGTAATGTTGCATGTATAAATTCGGAAATGTTTTGATCTCTTGAACTGTATTATTTAAAATACACGATTAACGTATTAAATTGTAAATAATGAATCAAGCCAAGACATGTATTAAATGTTTTATTGAATTGGAATAGAAACTGAAAACAGATTAACATCCTGTGTGAGATATTTCATTCAAATATTGTGAAAGGGTTGGTAATAAAATTAAAATTGTCATTGTGTCATTTTAATGACATTGAATCGTTCGATTCTGTTACGTAGTCGTCTCAACATATTGTTGTCATGGGTTACTTCTGCGAAACAACTCAATAGAAACGAGTAAAGTATTATAAACGAAATTATGTCTAAAGAGTTCTTCATGACATGTATTGACTGTAAGACACAAAGCGTACAGGATCTAAGTGTGATGTTAAAGGTCAACACGTAACTAGTGAACTGATAAATATTGTACAATTTATCTAAAGAGTACATTTATGAAAACGTGGTACTTTTCTGATATCTAGTTAAATTAACACTTACCCAGATCTTGGCATAAGCATGACTTAAAATGATCACGGCTAAAACACTTCCGTGTGCACGCGTTTATGTCTACTCTTGGCAAAATCGTTATAATATAAAAAAATCATGAAACAAGAATCAAAATGGCCGCCAATCGGGTCTCCAACGCCAATCCAACCTCCCAAGATATAATTTCAAAACATATTCTTACCTGCTGGTTCAAGTCGAACCGTTTCTGCTTTAATCATAATGTGATTCTGTAATGTAAGTATTTGAACAACATCGTAGCGCCGAACAATTAATGTTAATTAAGCATGATTTCAGAAAAATTGAACAGATTTGATAATAACATGCCGAAATTTTTTTCCTGACCGCGCCATATTATAAACATGAACTTCCGGTTTAAATTGTTGGAGTTTTTTTTAAGGAAACGAAATACTAATATTATACAGAGAAACAATATCGATGCTAAATTACATACATGGTATTATTTTTTTTATATAAATATTCACAAAACTGCGGTCTTGTATTCTATGTGACCATTAGCTTACATTTGTCAAACATATCACTGCTCCAAAATCATTTCAGCACGTTGTTAAATGTTAATGAGCGCTCAACAGACCTTTGATCTACCAGTTTATTGGGCCCAACTTTATTTTAACTACAGACATCTTAACACCAATTAGCATTCAAGTCTGTCTGGCTATATTGTCTGAGTAAAAAATACCTTTCTCTTACTTGTGGACCCCCGGATTAAGACTTTGTATGGAGTTCAAATTTAAAAAAAAAAATATTTGTTGACGGTACACATTACTTGTGTTAATTATATGGAAAAAACACAAGATTTGTGTTAATGCATTAAAAAGAACACAAGTTTGTGTTAATGCAATGCAAAACAACACATAATGTGTGTAGAATAATTTTCACACAAGTACTTGTGTTGAGATCCAACACAAGTTTTTTTTCAGTGTACTCTATGAGACACTGTAACTGAAGACTAATATACAATACATGTATACCTATAGAATATTATATTGTACAAACTATTTATATTATGAGATAAAAAAGTTCATTTTTGGTGGCACAGAGATAAGATAACCTGTTCTAATGATCACCATGGGAACTGCAAGACCCAAGTTATAAAACACATATTACAACACTGTTATTTCATTTCACACTTTTTAAAATGTAAATATGTTTAGATGATTTATATAGAGGTGGTGGGTGGGGATGCAATTCTAAGGCCCTTCTGACTTGTGGAAAGCCCCCACATTTATGGTTAGATTTTCGAAAATACATTTTTCATGCATGGAACAATATTTCTGGTAAGTTACAGCCATGTAACTGGTGTCCATATAAAAAGTCCCACTTTTAGGGCGTGGCCAGGTGGGCTTTAGGACGATCTGACTTGAGGAAAGCCCCAACATTTCTGGTTAGATTTGTGAAAAATATGTTTTCCAAGTATGGATCTTTGTTTCCAGTAAGTTTCAGCCATGTAACTTATGACCATATAAAAAAGCCCCATGTTTAGGGTGTGGTCGGACATACTTTAGAGTGGTCTGACTTGGGTAAAGCCCCCAAAATTTTGGTTAGATTTTTGAAAATTGTATTTACCAAGTATGGATCTTTGTTTCTGGTAAGTTTCAGCCATGTAACTTATGACCATATAAAAAGCCCCATTTTTAGAGTGTGGTCGGACATACTTTAGAGCGATCTGACTTGGGGAAAGCCCCCAAATTTTTGGTTAGATTTTTGAAACTTGTATTTACCAAGTGTGGATCTTCGTTTCTGGTAAGTTTCAGCCATGTAACTGATGACCATATTATTAGCCCTGTGTGGCGATATTGGGCGTGGTCTGACTTGGGGAAAGCCCCGGAAATTTTGGTTAGATTTGTGAAATATTTACTCCGACTATGGATACCATTGTCCCTACAAAGTATTAGCCATGTAACTTATGACCTAATTTTAGGCCCCCTGGGGGCTACTTTAAGGTGCTGCTGCGGTTATACGCCCCAGCAGGGCCCGATCTGACCAATTGATTTTTACTCCTACCGACACCCGCTACAAATTTGGCGGATCAAACCTTTTGTAACTGATGACCATATTATTTTGTCATTAGCTCCTGGACTATTACTCCTTGTCACGTATAACCGGGGATTCGAAACCAACACCAACGTATCATAATTAACTTTTTATATTGTATACAACCAAATATTGCCTCTTTTTTTTAAATTATTATTTCCAAGAAAAATGCATCAAAACTTTAAAAAAACTAAGAGAAACAAATACATATTTTTGGCAAACGATTGGTTTTCTCAGGGTTGAATCTCTCTATAGATATATATAAAATATATTTTAATTTGTTTTAAAATAATATATGAATATATAAACAAAAATTGTTTCTTAACAATGTTTAATGTTTCAAATTTCAAGGGTGGCGTGTTATAGTCACGTGATACGGTTACTAAGGTGTTTATTGTACATATACCACATATTGTAAACTAAATCCACATATATCATTTCTAATTTGAGCACCTCATTACCAGGTTGTTGGAAGTGTCCGGGAAGGTTTCTGGTAATATTTTTGGTTTTGTTTTATTTCTTTTGTTAAACGTGCATTATGGAAGATTAGATAAAACGCTGGCAGCTCTCACTGTAGTAGTTAAAAGATAGTTATGCTGAAAATTTCAGTCAAATTGATCAACTATGAACCGAGGTATTAGAGTTTGAATTTTAGGCCTAACCTGCGATCATCATTACTAAAAAACATAGTTTCCATTAGGCATTTGTGGATTAAATCATCAATGAGCGTTGAGCAGCAAATATCGGATTCAAATCCAGTGAGAATCCAACACATAAGATGCCACCGAGTGTTGATTATGGTGGTCTTTTCATGTTACTAAATGTCTAATTAATAATTTAGATAACATTTCAGGCCTAATGAAACACCTACAGTAGTCAGATTTAGCTCTTGTATAATGTATGTTTAAACAGTTATTGATCCATCTTAGAAAATGGTCAGTCTAGATATTATATAAATGTACGTCGGAGTCACGCCATTGGAGTCGCACCGGCCGGAGTCACGCCATTCGAGTGGCACCGACCGGAGTCGCGCCATCGGAGTCACGCCGTCCGGAATAATGAAACTGTGAGAGTATTCAATTTTAGTAAAAACAATTTGAAATCAGAGTTATAAACTGTTCAAAACAACCGCCAAGGTTCTGCGGGCTGATCTGGAAAGCTGTAAGAACGCGATTTTTTCAAGTTTGTAATTTTTTGGACCATTTTCTCGCGTTGTGTTTACATTTGCCGGCGACCCTGTGTATTTTCTGGTCGCTGTACGGTCGCAGCGGTGCGGTAAGGACGCCACCCCGGTCTGAGGGGCATAATCTGTTATTTTTATCGCTGTAACCCTTAGAATAAATATTGCTTTGCCTAGTAAGTAAGATAGTTTTATTTTTTATCATTTCAGCATTTAGAATAAACACTGTTTGTAAAATAGTTTTCTAGTTATCCGCGGGATTGACAGCAGAACCATAAAACAAGAAACATGCAGCAACTTAATATCATAGCTCTCATTGTTCTCATAGGTAATATAATTTAATTCTCTCTCTCTCTCTCTCTCTCTCTCTCTCTCTCCCCCTCTCTCTCTCATTAAAATACAGATCTAACACTACATGAAGATCTGACCAGTTGTACTTGGTGGTCGCGTCAGGGGTCATACGAGCGTCTTTTGACCCTATGACGTCAGACATTGATTAAATCAGGGATGACGTTTCTAGGGGTTTACCCACATGCAGAGCACACCAAGAACTCGCCGGAACAGACCGTTTCATTGGCTAATTCCTCACATCAACTAGAACGCCTGTTTATACAACACCTCTTCCAGATCCTAGTGTATTAAATACAAGTAAAACGAAATTTTGAACTATAAAAAACGAAACGAAATAGGATCTGTGTTTTAATCGGATTGTCTCTCTGTATACATATCCAAAAAATATGAGCGCAACCGTAAAACTGCACTACTTTGTTTCGCGGTAAACGATGGAAAGATAAAAGGTGTGCCGACACAAACTGATTTCAACACTGGTTTAATAACATTGTAATAATTTTGCCAGGAAACGCGGGTCTGCGATATCGCCCAAGGTGGAAGCAGACGTTAAGCCATACTGATTGATCGGTTTAGAGCTTATATATATATAGAGAGAGAGAAATGGGGTTTAACGTCCACTCGACACAAACTAGGTCATTTCGGGACTAACATATGGTTCAATTTTATTTCAATAATTCGCTTGCACATAGGGGTCTTTAGCAGTGGGAGGAAACCGGAGAACCCGGAGAAAACCCACAAGGTTGGACAGGCGACCCTACTCCTTGTCACATACAACCGGGGAATCGAAACCACGCCAGTTGACTCAATGACATACCATATGATACAGCGCGCGCGCTAATCATTCGGCCATCCAAAGCACACTGACAGAACATGACGCTGCTGGAAAAATGAAATGGAACGGGGTTTAACGTCCTACTTTTCTACTCCATCCGGGCTAGTAAAAACAGCCATGCGCAATGCAGTGTGCTATGAGGACAATTTTGCCCGGACAGCGACACTACGACCTACTATGGTGCATCCGGCCAAGTAAAAACAGCCATGCGCCATGCAGTGTGCTATATTGAAAACGCCCGGACGCACTAGGGCTTTCTGCGACTAGGGTTGTTTTACGTACCGGACCAACGTATAAATGGAAACGCGATTGCTCTTCCCATCAGAACGACTAGACGTTGTTACCGTTCTGCATATGGGCATTTTTTGGTTTTACCTGATGGCGGACGTACATTGTATATGTTTTGGTCCCGTGAACTGCTGTTTAATATGAAACGTATTCTGGTGCGGATCCATGTGGGAGGGGAGGGGTGGTGCGCAGAGCCGCCCCTGTTATCGGAAGAGAGAGAAATGGGGTTTAACGCCCGCTCATTTCGGGAACCATATTTAAGTCATGGGCGTTAAACCCCGTTTCTCTCTCATTTCCCGTGTCGAAATGGATCCTTTCCATTATCGGAAAAATCAACTCTGATTAAATTACAATACACATTAAAAATATTAAGGTATTTTACACCAATTCGGGTGGAAACTAGTTGCCATCTAAATAGTGGTAACTCTTAGCCTTTAGTGGTGTAAACTTGTTGGTGTAAATGCAGTAAAACCTTGGTGTTCAGTACTCATAAATATCGATTACACTTTTGCAAGCCAATAAACGCTGTAAAATTAACGCTGTTCTATGATTTATTCTCCAATAATAGTTACATCCTTTGGTATAAATGCAGCATAACACTGGTAGGGATGTAGCTTATCAAAAACACCCCACAATTACACATATTCAGGTGTTCAATAGTCGTGAATATCGGTTACACTTGTTAGGTGTAGTTCTTTTAGTGTGTTACCCTGAGAAAGGTATAACATTTAAAATACGATAGTTGTGTTGTAAAGTTTACACTTAATTAACATTGCTTATAGATTTTAATTACACCAATTTTTAACAGTGTAGAGGCAGTCTTGTCGGATGACTGTTTGTGAGGGAATTTTTACGATGCTTAGAAGCTTCTTCGATCTTTCAAACATATGTTTCAGTTGTTTGTGGGTAAATCTTTCGTACATGTTTGTTTGTTTTACAGGAACTTCCATTTCCATGGTATCAACATCAACAACAAGTATTGACCCGTCGTCGACCGAAACGACAACTAACACCGATACAGGATCAACAACCATTGAATCGTCGTCGACCGAAACGACAACTAACACCGATACAGGATCAACAACCATTGAATCGTCGTCGACCGAAACGACGACCTCGGGCAATGGAATGGGACAAAACACTGGTACGACGACCACAACCAGTGATATGGGAACAGCCGCCGTTATGTCGACCTCAGACACTCAAACGTCAACAACCACTGGCTCTATCATGGCAACCTCATCCTCAGACGTTAGCCAATCATCAACTGTCGGATCCAACGATACAACAACACAACCAACCAACACAACAGAGAAAGCTGGAGCTGTGTCGCCTACCCATCATCTTCATCTGACTACTCTCTTACTTATTTCATTCATCTTCGCTATTTTAGCCTATTTAATCTAAACTTATAACTTACTTGAAAATATTACAAACTTTGAAACATTTTGACAAAACACACAGTGGGGATACCCGATTCAATTTTCCAGAATTAAATTCTCTCAATCCCAACCAAAAGTGAAAAACGGGGATTTCGGGCTACAATAAAAAATCTCAACCAACCATGACAGCAGAAACATCTTTTAGCAGGACTGACACAACGGTAACAGGGCTGGATTCCATTTCACTTGATAGTAATTCTGTCAATTCGGGAAGTTCCTGTCTGACATTAGAGCATCCCCTATGATAATACTTGAATTATAAATGAAAGGAAATGGGGTTTAACGTCCTACTGTTCTGCTCCAACTTGAACTATATTTAAGTCTGTTTCGACATTTTGGGGAAAATTCTTGATATAATGTATTAATTAAACATGTTCTTAAGGGTTCTAGAAACAAACGGAAACAAATGTAAAACAACTTTTTTTCTTTTTTTTGAAAGGCGGGTGGGAGGGGGAGACATACCACTATAGACTGGGAATAGTATTGCTTTTATTTTTATTAAAGCTTTCGTTGGGGAGTTTTAATGAATTCTATATTGTTTCCGATACGTTTTTTGAAAGGAGGGTGGGGGTGGGGGAGGGGAGGCATACCACTATAGATCTGAAATAGCTTGAGTATGGTTATTATATCTATTAAGGCTTTCGTTAGGGTGTCTTTTTTTGAAAGGAGGGTGGGAGGGGAGGGGGGAGGCATACCACTATAGATCTGAAATAGCTTGAGTATTGATATTATTTTTATTAAGGCTTTTGTTAGGGTGTTGTCTCCATTATTATGTGTGTAACCACAAAGATATTAATTATTAACCACTGTCTAATTTGACATATTTGGGATAAGGCGGGGATGGGGACGGGAGGGGGGTATCCTGGAGTACGAGATGAAGGAGGAAGGAATTCCTCCTGATATATTTCATTGATGCACATCTTTTTACCAATATTTCGTTCCGTTTAATTTGTCGATGGTTTACTGCAATACATCTAAACGCATCAGTTATACTCGGTATCTGATTGGTCGAAACATGACTTGACACCATTTGATTGGTCTTATGTATATCCATCTCTGGTGTGAGTGTATGTGGCTTAGAGATGGAGGTGCCTTCTCAACCTCGTGGGTTTGATCTGGCTACTCCAGTTTCTGTCCACAGGCAAGACCACGAAGAAAACAAAAGAATATCCACAAATCAAACGGAACGTCACTATCTATAAATAGACCATTGTTTAAGAATGACGTGTCATTATTGAAATGTTTGTATTTTTTAGGATAAAATGGGAACGTGTTCCCTGAAATAAACCCTTACCTTAACCCTAACCCTGACAACACCCATTTAACCTATGCAGCGGAAATATCCGTCCACCATTTCTCCCGACACGAGCCCATAATTGTTCTTAGAATGCGTGTTCCATCAAGAAAATGAGGTTTATAAACTGAGCAGTCGTTGAGCAGGTGATTTATCACCTTTGGTGGAAGTTGACGAACGGAGGAAGTGAAAGAACTAAACACAAATTAAAACAGTTAGTTTATGGTTTGTCCGCCATGTTAGATACTGTTCGGGATATTCTCTAATTGAATTTTTAAAAAAATAATACCTAATTTAATGTTCTTTCTACGGAAGCTAAAAAGGGCCATGTTATTTTTACATTTTTACAATAATTTCAACTTAGTATCTAATCAAGTTGAAATTATAGATACTTAGTTGAAATTTTTAGTTATTAAGTTTTAAAAGTTGACATTTCAAGGCCCTATTTAGCTTCCGTAACTTTCACATTGTGATCTACTATATGCTGTATGTACTTTCGCCTATAGTTAGAAAATAAAGCACGTGTTATTCTGTCAATTAGATTTATTAGGTTATATAAGCAATGGGGTATCTTGTATTTTGCAGTTATAGCAGCAAGAGAAATGAAATGAAATGAAATGGGGTTTAACGTCCTTCTGTTCTGCTCCGAACTGAGCTAATGAAGACGGGCGTACGTCATACAGTGTGCTATGAGGGAAATTTTGCACTACAGCCAACTCTTATATCGAATTCCAACTGTCAAGGGATCTTTTACGTGTACGCCAATGTGTACACGGGACCTCAGGTTTTTGTCCCATCCGAACGACTAGACAGCTGCCCTTGTCAGGCCCTCTGTCCTACATCACTGACTGGGGGGGGGGGGGGGGGCACCAGCACACATGATATCTAAATCGTTGCTGTAGCAAACTAAATGGAATGGGGTTTAACGGCGTACTGTTCTGCTCCGTACTGGGTTAATAAAGATGGGCATACGCCATACAGTGTGTTGTGAGGGAAATTTTGCACTACGGCCTACTTTTATATCGAATTATAGGGATCTTTTACGTACACGCCAATGTGTACACGGGACCCCCGTTTTTCAGCCAATGCAGGGATCGAACACCCAACCCCCAGGTTAGCGCCTTACTTACTCAGCCACCGTGACCCCTCAGCAGGAAGAGCCACTGGAGATCCCGTATTTGTCCTGTGTGGTCCCCCCTTGTCACTGGTACAGGACAGGTGAAATGGCAAAGGACAACACATAGTCGTTCGGATGGGACAAAAAACCGAGGTCCCGTAAACATATTAACGCATTGGTATGCATGTAAAATAATCATTGACAGTTGGATTTCGACATAAGGGTAGACTGTATTACCGCTGTCCGGGCAAAATGACCCTCCCAGCACATTGTGTAACTTAGCGTGCACGTAAAAGATCCCTTGACAGTTGGAATTCGATATAAGAGTAGGCCATAGTGCGTAGAGTATTATCTGAATTTTGACTAAAATTTTTAACAGTATTTTGTTTGTAAAAATCAACATTGCACCGTCATTGATTTATGGCAGGTGTTCAACCTTCCCAATTAATGAGAAAGGAGAGAGAAATAGGGTTTAACGTCCACTCGACACACACTAGGTCATTTTGGGACTAACATACTGTTCAATTTTATTTCAATAATTCACTTGCGCGTAAGGGTCTTTAGCAATGGGAGGAAAAAGGAGGACTTGAAGAAACACCACGAGGTTGGACAGGCAACCCTACTCCTTGTCACGTACAACCGAGGAATAGAAACCACACCAGTTGACTCAATGACAGATCTTATGAATAACGCGCACGCGTTAATCATTCTTCCCACATCCCGTCAATGAGAAGTGATTTCAGGTGTTCCAAATATTTAACGCCAATTGAGGTATTGTGGAACCTCTGCTGAATATTTGGGAATATTGGGTATTTAAAGGTACATCAGTCGGGGAATGGTTCAGTTTGCAAACATATGATGAATTAAAAGTTTGTAAACATTTGGCCTCGCCAGAAAATCCGATGTACAGGATATGATGATCAAAATCCAGCTCTTATATTTAGGGTTAGGGTTAGGGTTTAGTGTTTGTGAAAACAATTAATTTCCTCTGGCGGGGTTTAGATTTCCCAGTTGTACGTGACAAGGAGTAGGGTTTCCTGTCCAGCCGCGTGGTTTTCTCCGTATCCTCCGGTTTCCTCCCACTGCTAAAGACCTGTATGAGCAAGCAAATTATTGTAATAAAAATGACCAATACGCTAGTTCCGGAAAATCCTAGTTTATGTCGAGTGGACGTTTTAAAACCGCTGATTTGTGAATCTCTCTCTCTCTCTCCCCTCTCTGTCTCTCTCTCTCTCTCCTCTCTCTCTCTCTCTCTCACTCTTACACACACAACCAGACCTTAGTGAATCAAGGTAGGTAACTCTGTTTTAATTTTAAAAGACTAGGCGTACATTGATTTGGGTACATGAACTAAAAAGAAATCGGCGCTCACGTCAATGTGTACACGAGTCCTCGTTTTTTCGTCGCATCCCAACAATTAGACGGATGTTCTTGTCAGGTCGTCCGCACTGCACCACTGACAAGGGGACACCACACCAAAATTCCGAGAAATTTTCTCAGCCAATACGGGAAGCGAAACTGAGTACTCCTGTCTAACGAGTTAGTGTCTTACTCAATGAACCACCACGGCATCCCTATTTAAGTAAGTGATGGAGCAGACGTTTGTTTGTTAATCTAATAATGAATTGTAGCCCAAAATGGAAATTTCTTGGATTCTGATTGGTCGAAAAGTGGCGTCGAATGAGTATAACAGTCCTCTAAATTTCCTGGGCGACTCACTGCGAATGAATATTTTCTGGGTGCTAGACTCTGTTTGCAGTGGCCAAAAATTCTACACCTCAATACTTTATTCTAGGAAATCTTCATGATTTTTTTCTTGTATGTCATCAACAATGAAATTCAACCATTGGCTTATTGAAACACACACCTGAAACACAAAAAAAAAAGTTAGTGAGTGTATTTGAAAGATAAAAAGTAGATTCAATTTCAAGGCTGGTCTGACAATAATAATGGTTGCTATGGACAGTATGGTCACTCTATCATAATCAGACTGGTCAAAATCGAAGATTTTCAACAAGTGAATAAAAATACTACAATTTATTGAACTCCGTATGGACCGTAATATATTTTTAATAATATACAAGTCAGGCTGATACTGATATGAATAGGACAGAGACTAATTTTCATACAGATACACAGGCCAGGGTTTTTTGTCGAAATGACAACGTAAACAAGCATAGCAACCACATGCGTTCGCTACACAGCATCTATCTGCACTGTCACACGAGTGTATGGACATTTATCAAACATGATATGCAATTTATTTCGAACCTAGTCACTGCTGCAGTTTAAAATCATTTAAAAAGTACATAAAATACACTTACGTTTTCTGTTTCAATCTTTAAAATTATCGCAGAGTGACCTCCCTTTCCAAACAGACACACTTATCCAGTCGCTTTGTGAACCAAATAGAATGGAAATGAGTGTTTATCTTATTACGTCACGGATATTTTCATTACGTCAAAATTGTTTTCCTTGGTATTTACGTCATTAAAACCAAAAAACTACCGTCAACTATCGCGAAAGAAAGAATTCCAAGAAAAATGTTAAATATTTTGGGCTACAATATCGATAAACACCTCCTGTTTAGAATTTATCGGACTGTTATTGTCCATTTGATACCGCTTAAATTTTTCATTAGAGGTGCTCGATCGATAACGCGATCTCGGCCTCTAATGATTTAAGCGGTATCAAATGGACAACAACAGTCCGATAAATTCTAAACAGGAGGTGTTTATCTCCGAAATATTTAAATGTAGTGTACAATAGAGAGGCACAGTGCTTTGGAATCCTCTCCCATATTCACTTAAAAATATTAAAAATCTTCATTTATTTTTGAAATATATCACTAGGCAAGTTATTTCTTCTTCTTAACCTGTAGCCTATATTTAATATATCATCTACTTACTACATAATATTATCTATCATATTACTTTTAGTTTTGAAGTTAAACTATTTAGCTTATCAGTATATATTTGAATGCTTTGTGTGTGAGTATTTGTTAAGTGTCTTGTTCTGTTATTGTCTTTTTCATTTCTTTGTTATAAAGGGCAAAATTGTAAACAGGCTTTAAGCCTAATTTTTCACCTTTGAAAATAAAGATATTATTATTATTATTATTATTATAATTATTATTTTATTTTCATTTGTGACTTACCGTGTCGACAGTGAGGTACAGAATTACATGGTTTTCACACGGATAGTGAAATGGGGCTTGACTGACGTACGACATTTCTGTACCATGAAGTGTATTGAAGACGGGGTTTGTTTAGCAAATAAAAATTGAAATAGAGTTTAACATCCCGCTTTGCTTTACCAACTATTGGGGTTTTTTTTGTATTTATTTATTTATTTTAAGACGCCCCCACTCCCCCGGTGCTAGGAAATGAAATGGAGTTGGGCGTCCTACTGTTCTGCTGCTAACCTGGGCATATGCCATACAATGTGCTATGAGGGAAATTTTGCCCGGGCAGCGGCGCTACGGCCTACTCTTAAATTGAATTCCAATTGCTAAGGGATCTTTTACGTGCACGCCAATGTGTACACGGGACCTCGGTTTTTCGTCCCATCCGAACGACTAGACAGCTGTCCTTGTCAGTCCCTACATCCTGAATCACTGACAAGGAGAAACCACGCCGGAAAATCTGGATGAACTTTCTCGGCCAAGGCAGGGATCGAACACCCCACCCGGTGTTAGGAAATGAAAAATGACATGGAAACAAATGGGGTTTAACGTCCTATTTTTCTGTACCAACCAATGCAATGGCGGATCCAGGACCATGGTAAGGGTGGGGGTGGCGTGTGCGGCCCAGTCTTACGCTGTGGACGACCAAGGCGTGACGACGCGCACAACGGGGGGTCCGATGGCCTCCTCTTGGATATTTCTAAATCTAGAATTTCAGTGATCTGAGACAAGAACCTGGGCCCTTATTCACGAAAACTTAAACTAAGATAAAATCGAAATTTTAAGAAATACTGCAATTCGATTGGCTGACCAGTAAAATCAAATTGCATATATCCAATGAAGTTGCAGTATTTCTTAAAATTTCGATTTTATCTTAGTTTAAGTTTTCGTGAATAAGGGCCCAGGTTCTAAAATAATGAATTACAATGGGGCTTTTTCAATCAGAAATCCGGGGGTGGGGGCGTACGTCATGGCAGGGTGCCCCCCCCCCCATTAGACCCGCCCTTAAATCAGGGTATGTTATTTAGTGTGCTATGAGAGAATTGCTGCCAACATCTCTCCTGGGTATTATTTTCATTAATTTGTAGTTTATGGTACCCCGTGGCTATTTGCATAAATCGATACAATATTCACATAATATTGATACGTTATGATCGATTATAGATAGAAACGTCGCCAGATGTTATACAATAGAAATATAGACTAATTTTAGCATGGTATACGTATTAAAAACATCACCGCCACGATGTATAACGTATTCAACATCATTGATTATACCAATGTGCCGAGTATGAACTATTCTTATAAACATTGTTATACAGAGGATTTAAGGACTAATTATCATGACTAGATCAACCAGGCTCTAATTGACTAAAATCTACTTCTAAACTATTTATTAGAGGTTTAATTAGGATGAGAGTGTCTAGTCTCTTTCACCCAGACTCTAGTTGACTCTAGATCTAAACTCTTACTGAGAGAATATAACAGAATAATGGTTGTGATGTCGTTTAAGGCCTCGCTCAACGAGTCTAGTTGAATTGAACCTAAAGCTTTTACGGAGCGAATCTGAAGGATTAACTTGACAGCAATGTATAGACTCTTTCATCCAGACTCTAGTTAAGTAAATTCGAAAACTTTTACGAAGAGAATATGAATGTTTTATTACGAATAAAATCCTAGCCTTGTTCACCAAGACTCTAGTTGACTAAACTCTACATCTCAACTTTGATGGGGCGAATATTAAGGATTAATTGTGATAAGGATGTCTAGCCTCGTTCAACTAGACACTAATGGACTAAAGTGTGTGATTATCTATAGAAGTGTAATTAAAGAGAAGGTTCAACTGTTCATATTTAAATCGTATTGAAACGATAATTATCTTTTCAGCGGTATCGTTGTCATTAAATACGATTGAAATATTACTCATTAAATACGATCGGAAGAAATATTCATAATTTGGAATATTCATCATTAAATTAATACGATCGGAGTATTAAATACGATTGGATAGTTACCCATGGAAACACAGACACGAGTCCAAAAAATACAACAAACTTTCAACAATATGGCTTCCAGGAAATATACTAAACATTGTGTCGTCATCCTCACTATGTGTTACGTCATATATTTCTACCAGTATCATTTATTAACGTCAGGTAAGGAAGCGATGACGTCATTCTGCACGCAGAGAACTAGCTATTTTGAGAATGGCCGCCATATTCATAAAATTAGTATACTCTTTTGTAATCTTTCTTAAACACAACGACTCAATAATCATTTTCACTTTGATCAAATGGAAGCAGAATAAACACTTCTCAAAATTCTGGACAAATACTTATTGCTTTTGACTACAAATTGTCGATGTAGGAAATTTAGTATTGGATGAACACGTAGTTGTTCTGATATAGTTTCCCCGCTTCTTTCTTGTCAGGGTAAGGCTTGTAAAACATTCTACACACAGAGATCCATCGACTTAATACTTCGAGAATAGATCTCGGCCCTGAATGTCAGCCATTTCCCAAAAATAATATATTGTTTTGTAATGCGGTTCTATTCCGTTCACATCTGTCATACACACAAAGAACAAATAAACCCTTACAATATGATTGAATGGATGTGGATTTAGGATTTAAAATGTCGGTCAAGTAGCTTAGTGCCTGTTCAATAGCAGAGGTAACTGTAGACAGACAGCCTAAGTTTAGTATGGCTGACAAGGGAAGCGTGTCTAATCGTTAAGATGAGATGTAAAACCGAGGTTCCCTATAGAAGACGTAAAATAAGTCGAAGAAGATTAGAAACATATAAACAGGTTACCATATAAACATGTTACCATATAAACAAGTTACCATATAAACACGTTATCATATAAACATAAAGTTTGGAGGATTGTTTTTGCGATTCTTTAAACCCTATTTATTTTCTTCCCACTCTCCGGGCAAAATTTCCCTTATAGCAAACTGTATAGCGTATGCCTATCTTCATTAGCCCAGTATAGGAGCAGAACAGTAGGACGTTAAACACCATTTCATTTCATTCATGTTTCTGTTTCTTTTAAATATAGAGATCAGTTGCCCCCGTCTAAAGGAGGACATCAAACAGTATGAAATATTGACAGATGAAGAACTTCGGCCATTCTATCATCATTTAATTCATAATGCCAGCTCAAAAATAACTTTTAATTCTGATACAGAACGAACAGGTAAGATATTTATATCCGACCACTTTGTCTGGGTGTGCCTGGTAGTGATCAGTTGTTCCTATCATCATGTGTGTGTGGGGGGAGGGGTGGCGACGAATGTTTAGCGTGTGCGCGTTGCATCAAAAGGTCTGTCAACTGGCGTGGTTTCGATTACCCGGTTGTACGTGACAAGGAGTAGTCACCTGTCCAACCTCGTGGGTTTTCTCCGGATCCTCCGGTTTCCTCCCACTGCTAAAGACCCCTACGCGCAAGCGAAGTATTGAAATGAAAAAAATGAACCATATGTTAGTCTCGAAATGACCTAGTCTAACCGGATCGGACTAACGTCGTCCTGCAGTATCAATACCATGTCTAACACATATTGCTCCCCACCAATCTCTTAAGAATGTCTTGGGAGCCACGGTGGTTCAGTGAGTGGGACGTTGGCTCGCTAACCAGGAGGTCCCGTGTACACACTGGCGTGCACGTAAAAGATCCATTGGCAGTCCGCAGTCCGGGCAAAATTTCCCTCATCGCACACTGAATGGCGTATGCCCGTCTTTATTAGCTAACTAGGAGGTCCCGTGTACACACTGGCGTGCACGTAAAAGATCCATTGGCAGTCCGCAGTCCGGACAAAATTTCCCTCATCGCACACTGAATGGCGTATGCCCGTCTTTATTAGCCCAGTTCGGAGCAGAACAGTAGGACGTTAAACCCCATTTAATTTCCTGCCATCCCATAATATTGTCTGACAATCAACACCACTATTTGTCTACGGTAGATGCCGAATGTTGAAATTTTTTAAATTCATCATAACTTTGTAAATACTGAACAAAACGGAACCATTTTAGGGTTGATATTCTCTTTAATGTTTCCCTCAAATGACAAGCAAACACTATTTTATATTTCGGTTTTGACACCTCTATCATGAGGTGTAATATATCATTTGTACAGGGGTCATAAATAAATCTAAAAGGACAATATTGGTGTCAGTCATTATTACATATGTGATAGAACTGGTTAAATACATTCCAAATATAATTTTAACACAGAGATCATTGCTACGGGAGACGTGTAACAAGCACGTGAAGAAACGGGAAGTGACGCCAAACATGACAAACATGAGTTGTCCTTCTCTATAACAGACTGAAGTAACAAGCGGTAACAGACAAACGATCGAATTTCATTTCACTGATAATTCCGTTGAAGTTGAAAAATTATTATATGGGACGGTGAGAGGGTATCTCACAATTCAAAAATAGAATTGGCTGTCACTAGATAAGAACACGAGAAAAAGTAGAAAATCCCGTGCATTCCCCCGTTTTTATTCATTCTGTTCTTAATAAAAACATGGTAATGCACGGACTTTTTCTAATTTGTTCGTTATCTTTTATCTACTGACAGCCAATTCTTTTATTGAATTGTCAGATATCCTCTCATAGTCAGGTATAACAACTTTTCATCTTCAACGGAATTGTCAGTGAAATGAAATTCGATCGTTTGTCTGTTACCGCTCGTTACGGTTTCCTCCTCCCACTGCTAAAGACCCCTATGCGCAAGCGAATTATTGAAATAAAATTAAACCAATATGTTAGTCCCGAAATGACCAAGTTTGTGTTGAGTGGACGTTAAACCCCATTTCTCTTTCTCTCTCTCTCTCTGTAATGGGCACGTTGCCTTGTAGTAAGTTAACTCAGCCAATGGCTTCTTTCATGCAGAAAAAAAACTGCTATTAACATTTAATATGCTCAAAGTTGTTGTGATTTTTTTCTAGATTTCAAGATGAATTTGTTTCGTGATCCAAGATGGCGTAGTAGGAAGCCGCGGTTAAAGGTTCTATTGTTGTCGTATATGAATTCTGGGTCCACATATATTGGTGACGTCATCCGCCGTAATCGTGACGTTTTCTACGTTCATCACCCTCTGTTGGTGCTGCAAACGTTCATCAATGAAAACAAAGGCCGACTGATGTTTTTATACGAAAGATTAGAGTAAGTTGTGGTCGGTGTATTAATTTATCTGTCCCTTGGTTATCATTTATAAACGTACAACCCTTTTTTTATTTTTTCAAATCCTGAAATTTCTTTGATAATTATCAGTTTAACCTATAGAACAATATCACCCCTATAAATTTGGGCCTTGAAGAAGAAATCAAGACAACAGAATACAACCTAATGTTTCTGAATCGTCTTCATTCCGACAGTGAAAGGGCAATATTTTAGGATAAACCTTGTAGTTACGTATATACAAAGGTTTGTTTTGCATTTTCTATATCTTTGGGATGTGCAGAAATAGCAAGTGCTTGATGTCGTAATTACTCCATAATGCCCCTATCAGACCGGGGTGGCGTCCTTACTGCGCTGCTACGGTGTAGGAAAATGGTCTCAGAGCGCGTCAAGATCGCCATAAGCGTGCTAAAGGCGTGGTGGAAACGCCAGATATCGTGCTGTAGTCTCTATTGTCGCCAAAGATCGCCGAGCATGTTCAAAACAAACGCCAAGGGTCTGCGATCTGACCTAGAAAGCTGTGAGAACGCGACCTCTTCAAGTTTGTACTTTTTTGGGACGTGTTCTCGCGCTGTGTTCACGTTTACCGGCGACCTTGTGCATTTTCTGGTCGCTGTACTTTCGCAGCAACGCAGTAAGGACGCCACCCCAGTCTGACGGAGGCATTATGGAGTAATTATTATTTTTTTATCTTTTGCAGAGTTTTAAAGAAACATGAACTCAAGCTTGAGAAACGAGACAATTTTACTCTGGAGGCCAACCGAACAATGAAACAACTAGCGGAGGAAACGATAGCAAACTTCCTCAACTGCAACTTCACAGCTCTTGATTTCGCCAGCTTGTCAAACCTTCCTAGGATCAAAGATTCACAAACCACAAAGTTTCTTCAGTGTATTAACGAAGGCAGCCTCGTGTCTTATATAAAGTGTCTTCATTTGCTGTATGAACTTTGCAACAAGACTAATGTAAATGTGGTGAATTCGGTCCAGTTTCCATTGGCGGTTGCCGAGTGGATGATGCAGGAGGACCCGAGTCTGATGGTGGTGCATCTGGTTCGAGATCCAAGGGCGACTCTCTGGACACAGTTCAATTATGGCGTCTTTGACTGGAGTCTGAAATTATCCAAGAAATCGCGTGGCTTCTGTAAACTAATGAGACTTGACTTGCTGGCAGCGAAGGCAATATCACAGCGATTCCCTAATCGCCTACTTCTGATCAGATATGAGGATTTGCTTGACCAACCCGAAGAGACCTTTCAATCTATATTCGCTTTTCTTCAGATGAATTATACATCTGAGATACAGAGTTACATCAAACAGACGGAAGTGGATACGGAATGCTGGGATTGTATTGAGAAAGACAACAATGCCTGGAGAACTATTATGCCATTTGAAGGCGCTAAAATGATCGATTTTGAATGTGAACTAGTGTATAAAATTTTGGGCTATATCCCAATCAAGAACAAAGCATACTTACGTAATACTGACTTTAAATTAGAAATAAAAGATACCTTAATGTAAAGTCCAATTATTAACTTCTTATGTTTTTTGGGGGTTTTTTTGTGAAGGGGTGGGGGTGAGGTGGAGTTGGAATGGGCGTGTCAACATGCTCTTGATAGCTAAAGCATGCCTTGTCTCATGTAACATTTCCCTTATTTGACTATCGATATGGGATATAGGAGCAGTTTACTTCCTTTGTTTATTGTCGTCCTCCGTGAAAGTTATCAACCATGTCCTAGATAGTAAATCTACTACGAAAATGGCTCGCATGCGCTAGGTTTAATTCAACAACCCAATACCAATGACACAGCTGGGGGTCATATCAAGCGGGGAGGGGGGGCAACTAGAGGGAGTATCATGGGAAGAGGACAGCTAGCGTGGAGATCGGGGGGGAAGGGGCAGCTAGAGGAGAGAGACCAATTAGGGGGAAGAACAAGTGGAGAAACCCATTGGAGGGTAAGAGACCAATTAGAGGACAGATCAAGGGGGGAGACTAACTAGGACTAGAGGTGACAGATCAGCTAAAGGGCAAAACAAGTGGAGAGACCAACTAGAGGGGAGAGGTTAGCTATCAAGGGGATAGACCAACTATAGTTGAGATCAATGGGAGAGATCAGCTAGAGGGCACAGCAATAGGACATAGGAAAGATCAGATAGGGGAGAGACCAGACAGAGGGAGAGAGGACAACTAGAGATCATCAGATCGAGGGAAGATACCAGCTATTCGGGGGAATCAATGGGAAGGATCGTCAAGAGGACAGATAGGACAGAAGCAGATCAAGGGGAGAGACGAACTAGAGGTCAGATTATGGGGAGATACCAGCTGGGGGGGGGGGGGTCAAGGGGAAGGACCATCAAGAGGGCAGAGCAAGAGCAGAAGGAAATGAACACCTTGTAGCTATCTGCGGTGAAAACTGTAAATGAAGAAAGAGTCTTAATACAAATAATCACATTGTATTAGGTGTTCTAGAAATATTCGTTACACAACTGAGACTGGCACATTTTTTTCCTTTTAGCTATGCACGATGCACATAACAAACGTTTATAGATTATGTAGAGAGCGTCTCAATAGCAAATTATATTATGCAGTTTAATTGTCCGGGGATGATCTTCCAAAACAAGGCAACCGACACTTAATAACGGGACCATTTTTAACGAAACAGCTCTCTATGAGCATAGTAACGGTAGCCACGACAACACCGATCAATACAACATAGAAAGCACTCTGTATGTCCAGTAATTCTATAACTTTAGATGAAGCTGATTTCTCCTGACACGTTCCGGGATCAGGCCACCAATTACGCTGTAAAATCAACGCCAGTCCACTTTCCATTATTTTCATGGTTCTGAAAAGAGATTGTTATAGTCTTAAAGGATATCCGGGTGTGGGTATTATTCATTCTATTTCTTGATCTATGTACACTAAAATATGGTATCAAATTATATGTCCATATATACAGTAAAATCTACAAATATCTTAACTATTCACAATGCTGGTGATCTAACTGGGTGTCATGAACAAGTTCATCTAACCTTCAAGATGACATCGACTTAACACATGTGGGTATATGCTTGTTTGTTAGGCAATCTATCTTTTGAAATGATAAATGTCAATTGGTCTTATTCATATATCTCCCTCATCGGGGTAGCAGACGTAAAATCATATGATCTTATTTTGGGTGGTGGATGTGTATAAACCTATTTCTAGGCATCCCATAGATCACCGTATTATGGGAGATCTACACAGGTCTGGTCGCCCCAAGGATCACCGTATTATGAGAGATCTACCCACGTCTAGTTACCCCACGGATCACCATATTATGGGAGATCTACCCACGTCTGGTCATCCTACGGATCACCGTATTATGGGCGATCTACACAGGTGATGTCACCCCACTGTATTATGAGAGCTATACCCAGGTCTGGTCGTCCCAAGGACCACTGTATTACGAGAGCTATACCCAGATCTTGGTACGCAAATGACCAAAGTATTACATCAATTGGAATTATTTCAAATATTAAGAAATAAAATCGGTTCCCATAATTCGAAACAAAATATCCACTCTTATGAAACATATTGTCCATACTGCTAATCTTTCTGAACAGATAATGTTTTAGTTATATTATAGGCGTTTATAATTCGTAAAGAAAAACAACTGGAATACGTACTCTTCTGAAAAATATTTTGCATACGGCGAACCTTTTTGAACAGCAAATGCATAGCCCATAGGAACAAACTTTTCTTTTAACATTGTGAATTCACAAGATTCCATCATCCACATGTGTCCAGTAGGTACATCGGATATCAGACCATAATCTTCTGTCATCACTTTATGCTTGTGTTCATCCGAATTCGGATTTAAAACCTGCGGATCTGTTCTGTTAAAATCAACTATTCCTCGCCACATTCCCTTGAAGTCAGATAAATTTGAATTCTAAAAAAAAGGGAAATAAAATACTCATCGAGTATATTAGGTTTATTATCAGGAACATAATTTATACATTCAGAATAATGTATATTCTCATACAGGTGTAGAGCGGGAGGGGGGGTTCAGCTAGCGAGATTTCGATTCCCAGGTTGTATGTGACAAGGCGTATGTTCGCCTGCCCAAGCTCGTGGATTTTTCCCAGGTTCCCCGGTTTCCTCCCACTGTTAAAGGCCCCTACGCGCAAGCGAATTATTGAAATAAAATTGAACCATATGTTAATCCAGAATTGACCAGGTTTGTGTCGAGTGGACGTTAAATGCCCTCTCTCTCGAAGTCAAGGCATATAAAACGCTAGATCTATGAGGAGACATTTCAGACATCAGGCAGAGTCTTAGAATGAAGGATGTAACAATTTCTATCAGCAGACTTACACTGGCGAGTTCGGATAGGAGTGGGATAGAGAGAATGACTTTATTTTAATCTATGCTGGTAACCTATGTATCCAGTGCTTGACATAAAAATGTAGAAACGAACTGTGGTATTGTTATTCCTGCAGGTAACCATCAACTGAATAAGTGTGAGAATAAATATACAATGTTTAAAGTGGAGTCCTAAATACGAGACAATACTAGACGAGCACAAGGCTAATAAAATATGTATCAGAGGAGAGAGTAATAGTCACACGTTGAATATGAGGGAATTTGGTTTGTTGTCTTTCCACATCTAGCCAGCATTCACGACATAGTTGATTTGGTTGTCGGAACTGTATAGTGCTACATGTTTGATTTGGTGCCGTGACCAGGACCGACCTAGGTAAATACTGCATAGTGCTACACAGGTGCGTAGCTACCAGGCTAGACCATAGGATGTTCACTCCTTACGCAGTCGTCTCTAATTCTTGTCCTCCCCTCTATGAGTTTAAGGGACTTATATACAATTTTAATTACATTCAAATACGGGGATTATATAAATTCCTGTTTCTATACACGTAACGAGGTTAATTAATTTTAACAGGTGTGAGAGTTTATGGTCTCTTAATTAGAAACACAGCTATCGCTTTTGATATCGCAATTCAATACATTTGTCAAAAAAGTAAAATACACAGCTATCGTTATTCAACTTAGCGACACAGCTCGACATATCTTGCTGTAATCAATAAATGTACCGAGAAAAAAGTCTCGTATTGTATTAAATATAAATAAATATCTTGTATCCTGTTTTCCTGTGAATGGAAGTTACAGTCGTCACATAAAGAACTATGTGAACTATATAACATTACCTATAAAAATCAATAAAAATAGAAACTATTATTTCTATGGTTAAATGTATAATGTTGGCTTAACTTGCCTAGCTCTTCGTATGTGCCCTTTCTGTCGGAATCATCCCCATTGCCATTTATCTACTACTCGTAAGAACAAAAAAGCCCTGTGTAACTTATTGACAATAACGTAATATACACCCTGTGTAACTTACTGCCAACAGTGTAATATACACCATTTGTAACTTACTGACAATAGTGTAATATATACCGTGTGTAACTTACTGATAATAGTGTAATATACACCCTGTATAACTTACTGACAATAGTGTACTATACACCCAGTGTAACTTACCGACAATAGTGTAATATAAACAGTTCCACCAACTGTTCCCCATTTATATTCATCTTGAGATACCATTTGTTTCAGGGTGTCAAACGGTAAATCCTTTTCATTTACAGTAAGGGATGCGATCAGATTACCGCTGTATGTAGCCACGGATATCAAGCAAAAAATCCACCAACAGGCTATTAAAGATCGTCCAGACACAGATGCTGACAGACGTGGTCCACCTAATAAAATCAAAACGACTTTTGATTAACATGTAGTTGTGTATCAAAAATATGTTAAATTTGTTTCTATAAACTCCTAAAAAATATTAGAATTGCAATTCTTAGTCCGTTCAATTAACAGTAAATGTGGCCAATTATTTCGATAGTCGATATAACTTAGTATTAGTTTTCTATGGAAGACCAAACAGCTCTGTATTCAGTGTTCTTAGTTCTTAGTTCTGAATTCATAGCCATTAATTCTTATTTCTTCTTTTGTTGTCGTATTTCGACATTTGTACACTAAAATTAACATTTGTATCTTAAATAACAATATTTGTTTTACAAATCAGACATTTGTCATATCAGATTTGTAAATGTATTTTTGTTTAACTTAACTGTATTTTAATATAAAGATGAAAATTATATTAGTAAATCAAAACCTTCATGATTAACATATTCTCTCCAAAACTTCATAATTAATAATTACACTCTAAAACGTCATAGTAACTTACCTTGAGCCAGCATGGCGCCAAATAAGTAGAGCATTGTACCCTGTAAAGTCGGTCTGACTTTCCTGGCTCGTAAATAGAACGGATTAAACTGTTCTATGGTATACAGGAATACAGATATAACACAGAAGGTTGCCGCAAGACAGATATGAACCTCAATTTTAAACGGCTCCACCAACTTCAACCATTTATTGCGATTCGGATCTGGTAATCGGAAGATAACACCAGTGTATGAGTAGTAGAACGGCGAGATAAAGTCTACTACTTGCTGGCGTTCCATTGACATGGCTAGAGG